CTTCACCTCTCCTCGTCCATTGTGTCATCTATAAAATGGCTTATTCAGAGTATCTGATTCATTGGGTTCTTGTGAAGATTAAATGAGTTATCTAATGTTATATGCATCAGCAGTTATTATTGTCATCATCATTATTATTTGACACAAAGCAACAGAGGCTTTTTTTAAGGGAGGGATAAGTTTATTTCTCCTCCATCCACTCAAACTGCATCTTGCCACCAGTGGCGTTTCGGAGACAGCATTTGGTCAGGGAGGGCCGGGCATTCCACAGCGTCTGACGGTGGAAACAGCCGTGCGTTTTATTTCCACTGTCTAGGAATGTAAGGGACACAGCAGGTCGGGGCGCTGCCGTGTGGGACACAGCGGGTCGGGGCGCTGCCGTGTGTGACAACAGGTCCAGGCGGAGGCAGTTCTCCGGGACGCAGGCAGGGCAGGTGCTCACTGGGCAGAGTGCTGCTTAGACACCTCCAGGAACTCGAGCACGTCGTCGGGGGACCCCAGGATCACCGGCGCCCTCTGGTGAATGTCTGTGGGAACGACGTCCAGCACGGCCTCCTTCCCGGTGTGGCCATTCCCCGGGCCTTCTCCATGACGTAGGCCATGGGTTGCATTCGTACAGCAGTCGCAGCTGGAAGACAAGACCGGGAGCGGCCTCCTCATATCAGAAAGTATTGCATGAAAAAGAGACTCTTCTGCAGCAAAACGTGCAGAGCTGGTGGGAGTTTCCAAGGGAACGAATACTGTATTTTTCCTTCCCGTGAGGCTGTACAAGTTTCCTCCCACCCCAGGTTGCATCTGAGACAAAACATTAACATGTGGTTAAATTCAACCATTCATCAAGCCAGTGCCAGGAACAGATTACCTGATGCACGTGTGAGACAGACCACCTGCATACTGGACAGAACGACAGTTGGCAGAAGGATCATTACCTTCTCTTTATAGCATGGAAACGGGACTTAATGAGTGATTCTGTGTGTGTTGGATGGAGCTTCGCCTACTCTAAAAGCACTGAAAAAATCCACGGTGGTGTCTGGCCGCAGACATCTGGAGAGCAGACCGGCCCCTCCAAACACTGTGATATTGTTTGCAGCTCTGTGTGCATTCCGTTTACGATTCTCCGAAGGCTTTTGGGTTGGAATTCAGTGTATTATACATCTTGGCATTGACTTTTAAATATAACTTTTTTATCGTTTTGCCTTTTCATGCCGCCTGCCTACTGAGCGACGGCTTTCCGCAGGTGTTCCCGACTCTATTTCCTCATAGGTGTCATGGCTAGTTTTGAAAAACCAAAAAAAAGGAGCCTCAGTATTTGTGTTCAGGAGCAATTCGGGGGACTTTAGAGAAAAGTGCTGGAAAGCAGGCTAACCACACAGGTTGAGATGCCCGAGGCAGCTACGGCTGGATGATGGTTCCAGTAAATAGAAATGCTTCATTCTGGATGCCACCTGCTACAAACAGACCCAAATACATCCAAATACACAGGTTTCCAACTAGTTTAAGGGGCCTGTTGTTCCTGTTCTCCTCTTGCATTAAAAAAAAAAAAAAAAAGCAGCCATGCGTGGTGGTTCATGCCTGTAACCCCAGCACCTTGGGAGGCCGAGGCGGAGTTGGATTGCTTGAGGTCAGAAGTTCAGGACCAGCCTGGCCAACATGGTGAAACCCCATCTCTACTAAAAATATAAAAATTAGTCGGGCATGGTGGCAGGCACCTGTAATCTCAGCTACTCAGAACACTGAGGCAGGACAATCACTTGAACCCAGAGGCGAGTTGCAGTGGACCGAGATCATGCCACGTACTCCAGCCTGGGTGACGAGTAAGCCTCTGGTCTAAAAAGCCATCTGTCCACTGGGAAAACATAGGAAGGACACAATACTTGGGAAGGAAGCGCACTGTCACCCTGGCAGAAGGAAAGCAGGGCAGCTCTGAGTGAGCACGGGGAGCACAAGGAAAGCAGGGCGGTCGAGGAGCACAGAGAGCAAAGGAAAGCAGAGGCTCTGAGTGAGCACAGAGAGCACAAGGAAAGCAGGAGGCTCTGAGTGAGCACAGAGAGCACAAGGAAAGCAGGAGGCTCTGAGTGAGCACGGGGAGCACAGGAAAGCAGAGGCTCTGAGTGCGCACGGGGAGTCAAGGAAAGGAGGCCTGAGTGGCAGGGAGCAAGGAAAGCAGGAGGCTCTGAGTGAGCACGGAGAGCACAAGAAAGCAGGGAGGCTCTGAGTGAGCCAGAGAGACAAGGAAAGCAGGAGGCTCTGAGTGCGCACGGGAGCACAAGGAAAGCAGGGAGGCTCTGAGTGGCACAGAGAGCACAAGAAAGCAGGGAGGCTCTGAGTGAGCACAGAGAGCACAGGGAAAGCAGGGAGGCTCTGAGTGAGCAGGGACACAAAAAGCAGAGAGGCCTGAGTGAGCACGGGAGAAGAAGCAGGGGCTCTGAGTGAGCACGGAGAGCACAAGGAAAGCAGGAGGCTCTGAGTGAGCACGGAGAGCACAAGGAAAGCAGGGAGGCTCTGAGTGAGCACGGGGAGCACAAGGAAAGCAGGAGGCTCTGAGTGCGCACGGGGAGCACGAGGAAAGCAGGAGGCTCTGAGTGCGCACGGGGAGCACGAGGAAAGCAGGAGGCTCCTGAGTGCACATGGGAGCACGAGGAAAGCAGGAGGCTCTGAGTGCGCACGGGGAGCACGGGAAAGCAGGGAGGCTCTGAGTGAGCACGGAGCACGAGGAAAGCAGGAGCTCTGAGTGCGCACGGGGAGCACGAGGAAAGCAGGAGGCTCTGAGTGAGCACGGGGCACAAGAAAGCAGGAGGCTCTGAGTGCGCACGGGGAGCGAGGGCAGAGGTCTGAGTGGCACGGGAGCACAAGGAAAGCAGGAGGCTCTGAGTGCGCATGGGGAGCACGAGGAAAGCACAGTGGCTCTGAGTGAGCACGGAGAGCACAAGGAAAGCAGGGCGGCTCTGAGTGAGCACGGAGAGCACGAGGAAAGCAGGCGGCTCTGAGTGCGCACGGGGAGCACGAGGAAAGTAGGAGCTCTGAGTGAGCACGGGGAGCACAAGGAAAGCAGGGAGGCTCTGAGTGCGCACGGGGAGCACAGCCACCCTGCAGCCTGCTGGGAACGCCGTGGGCTTGGACTAGTGAGTCGGTGGTGACGGCTCACCGGGAAGCTCTAGGCTTCCCCAGAGATTGTTTCCCTAAAAGGTATCATTTTCCCCGTAGCGGATGCTGACTCACTAGTGACCTGTTTCACACCTTTTACACCTTCTGCTGAGGATACATATTTGATCCACTGCCTTGGAAGTGAGGCTGGGTTTTTTCATTTCACTTTATGAATGGAATTCACTTTGCCTGAGCCAAGCCATGTATCTACCGGAAGCCCTTCAGTCCTCATCAGGACGAGGATTCATTCTCGTCTGATCTCAAAAGAGATTCATTCTCTTTTGCCATAGCACTGGAAGGGCTCTCAAGAGACTATTTTTATCTTTAGTTGATATCATCCGGCTTTACCTTTAATCCGCAAAAGAATATGCCACAGACACACGTAGCAACGTAGCATGGAGCGTAACAGCTCGCAAAACTCTCTTCTTCCTAAACCAAATCGTGTGGGCTGCAAGTGCAATCTGCTCCTCACTCCCCCTCCAAAGGACACCCTTACCTTTCCGCTGGGGCTCTTCTTGTTAGCAGGGTACAGAAATATCCCTCCGTAGACCAGAGTGCGGTGAACATCGGCCACCATGGAGCCCACGTACCGGGCTCCATAGGGGGCTGAATTATCCTGCACGTTAAGACCAGCAAGAATTAGGGCCGCAGCAAATAAGACAGAGTTTTCTTTGTGTCCCTGAGTTTTCTTTGATCCCACATCCATTCACCAAGCACCTACAAGGTGTGTACTTGGGGCTGTGCTAAAAAATGGATTCGAATCCTGTTCCCAATAAATGGAAAATGGAAAAATGGAGACACAGAAAATGGAAAAACGGAGACAGCGTCTCCCATCTCCCAGTAGGTCAGATTCCCACCGAAGCCCCAGCGAGGGTCTGGTTGGTTCTGGCTATGGGGCTGAGGCAGGCATTACAAAAACTGTGCCATTTAGTAACACCTCAAAGGCTGAGGAAGTTTGTTACCAAGCTAAGGAACTGGGCAGGGGTGGGAGGCAGCGTGTAATTTACAGGAGAGGAAACTGCACGAGCATCTTCTTAGCAATGTAGAGAGGGAAACGGGCCTGGAGGAGGGGCCTGTGGGACTCGGGCGTGCCTGTGCGGAGGTTGGGGGCAGGAGAGGAATCCAGGGTAAGGTGAAAGGACAGATGAGTAAGCTGGAGAGAGAGCCTGGAGCAGATCTGAGGCTCCTTGAACGCTCTGCAAACATTTGAGCTTCATCTCTAGCAAACAGCAGCCACCAATGGCTTTTAAACAAAGAAAGGACAAAATCAGATATTCGACATAGAGCAAGCTCCACACACAGCCGTTTCTTCTCTCCGTATTCACTAGCTTGTAACCTCTTTAGGGAGATGCCATGATGAGCTCTCGGTCTCGAGATGACGGATAGACGCGCCTCGGGCCGGCCTAGCGGGGGGCAGATACCCCTTGGCAGGCATTTGAGTGGGGAAACCACATTTCATGCCATCCGGGACCATGGACCCCAGAAGGGAAGCTGTTTTACTGCCCTGAATTCATTCATTTGGTTAACTTATTATCCTAATTTTCTTCTGCCGAGAGAAAGCAGCAAAGGCTGAAATGGAGACTGACTTTTGATGTCACAGGGTGAGAATTCCAGTCCCCAGTACTGAGGGGAGGCCTTTGTCGTGGGCTCAGTGTAGACGGAAGCCCAGTCCACTCCATCCCTGCTTCCTTTCACCTTTAAGGTACGCCATCAACCAACAGATTTCCACACCGCCCAGGAGCCCCACATGAGGTCCAAGGTCCTCGATCCCAAGGATCCCTGTCACCTCCGGGGGATGCCCAGCTCCATAACGGGCCCGGTGCCACATGCCCAGACCCTGCCCCACCCTCCCCGGCCCTCACTTACTGGGGGGAACTTCTTCCTCTGGATGTACTCAGTGACAGCAGGGTCAAAGTCCTTGCGTAGCCCTCGTTAAGGCTGTAGATTTTACCTTTCTTTTTGATCTTCACATCTTTGTCCACCAAAATGAACTCCCCGATGGCCTTTTGAGACAAGGAAGGAAAGGTGGAGAGATGACGAGCACATCGCATCCCCCAGGCCTGGATGAGGCGAGCGATGGGCTGGGCTATGCTGGGCTACGCTGGGCTGGGGTACCGCTCATCCTGGGACCCCACGACACCTGCCAGACTCTCCGGGAGCTGTGAATGGGGCACGGGAGGCAAGAGGATGCTGCAGAAGCCGTCAGGGTGATAACGGAGACTTTCAACTTTGTTTGCAAATGATTTCAGTAAAACAAGAAACCACACAAAAAGAGGGAAAGCAGACTGCTAAAGCCTGCAAGGAAGTAAGAATCGTGTGTCCAAAGCAATATAAGATGTGTATGGCTTTACCAAACAGTAAAAAAGCACTGGTTCAGGTGGGAGGTGGGCTCTCGGGAGAGACGGCAACTGCGGGATCAGTCCCTGGGTAACACCCAAGTGCTCAGCGCTGTTCTCGCTTTACATTTCTACCCTGATGGGAGTTCTCCTTTCTGGGCGCTGTTACAGGACACAGCGGAGCCCTGAGTTTGGAGCCGGGCATACGTGACTTCCGACGCCTCTGCTCACTGCCGTGCGAGGTTGTTCTCAGACCGCCTCCTCCCACGCAGCCCAGGGTTAAGCTTATGCCTTTAAGCTTTAGGCTCTTCAGAGGAGATCTGAATTTGGGGGGAAGTGTTGCAGAAGTCCTATTGCTCCAGATTGAGGATTTTTATGGGTTCCTGTGTGTTTTTGGCAAGAGGGTGACAGAGGCTCTACCCGTTTAGAACGGGCTTGACATTGACACAGGGTTGAAAAAGAAGAAAGGCCACCAACACCCCTCTGCCTAGCCATTTATTCCCACAGCAGAAACTGGTTCCTACCCACGTGCGGTACGTGGAAACCAGACAGAGAGGGAGGGAGGGAGGGGAGAATTCACAGTGGTCATTGAAAGGAGTCATTGGAAGTGATTCTTTCTTACTTTTATGCCTTTTCTAATGTTTTCAAAATTTTTGGCCACGAATATACCGGAATATTCTTTTATCATTGGTAGAAAAATAAATAAATGTCTTTCAAAAAACTGGATAGAAAAGAAAGCCATCTCACAACAGATGCTGGGTGCAGCGTGCAGGGCCCAGCCAGACTGTCCACGGTGCAAAGGAGGGAAGTCTGTGTATGATAAAAGCTCCCAGAAAGTTAAAGCCACTAGAAACCCAGGTCCAGCTGTGGCAGTGGTTTCAGCAGAAACCAGCAGCCTGGCTTTGCAGCCTAAACAAAGAGGAAGCACTTAGCATCTCCCTGGTGGGAGGCTCAGCCCCGTCAGGCACAGCAGGCAGAAGGGCTAGAATCAGATCCCAGCAGGTCTGCATTGCGCTTCCAGACATTTAGGACTGAGGAGGGCAAAAGACTGTCAAACACACAGAAACGTCCCTACAGAGATGCTGGCCTGCAATCTGGAAACAAGAAGAGATTTAATGTTTTCTCTGCTTCCACCAACTCAAAGGTAACAAGAGAAGGCAGCGAAGAATGGGAAGCAGAGCCAGGGCCTGGCAAGTCACAGCCAGCAAACATCAGTGGGGCCCGAAACCGCATCCTGGGCTCAGGGGGAACTTTGCTCTGGTTCTGCCACTAACCCCCCACCCCATCCCTACCCAGGACACCACATTCAGAGACTTGAACTAGTGCTATTACCCTACCCTCGTTTATTTGTTAAGCGCCCATGCTGCCAAGGAGGTGAAAGTCCACTTTCCGGACAGCCTGGGACAAAGGCAGCCGGTGTTGAGTTAGCCCTTCCCGCCACACACAGACCCGGCCTCACCTCCAGCAGCCTGTCTCCCACAGAGGGTTCCCGCTCCCTGTCTGTTCCTGGGGTTCAGTTTGCCAGCAAAAAGCACTTTATACACAGTTCACTAATATCATAGCAGGATATCTCCAAAGTTAAAAACGCTGGCCAGGCATAGTGGCTCACACCTGTAATCCCAGCACTTTGGGAGGCTGAGGTGGGTAGATCACCTGATGTTAGGAGTTCGAGACCAGCCTGACCAACATGGCAAAACCCCGTCTCTACTAAGAATACAAGTGTCTTGGCGGGCGCCTGTAGTCCCAGCTACTCAGGAGGCTGAGGCAGGAGAATCCTGAGGCTTGAACCCAGGAGGCGGAGCTTGCAGTGAGCTGAGATCGCACCACTGCACTCCAGCCTGGGCAACAGGGCAAGACTCTGTATAAAAAAAAAAAAAGAAAGAAAGAAAGAAAGACTGCACCAGTTAACTGAAGGTTTGTGTAAATGTACACAAATGTGGAAGCTATTTTTGAAGAAACAATGCCGTCCACTGCTTCAGTTGGCACACCCATTCATCTCAGGAAAACAGCCTTTTGGTGACTAAAGTAGAAAAGCTAGAAATGGAATATCTACAGCCCCATCCGGTCCATAAATGCATTTTAGTTGGCAGTACAGTGTTGCACACATGTAGAAACTATGGTTTTTACAATCCAGTGTTTCTTGAACCATTAGAAGCCTTGGCAAGGCGGGCCCCCTCTTCCCAATTGTAATTGCTGGAAATCTTCAGTTCACCCCGGTTCCACCCTTGCCCCCCACCAGCCCTCCTTCCCCAGCACACTTCATCATCCCCGTGGCCTGCCGGGACTGGAGGCATTTGCATCATTTGAGTAACAGCTGCTCTGAGGAATTCACATTGGAACGAAGGCCCCTCTTCTGCCCTGAGATGCCACTTCTCACCTCCACAGTCTGCTCGGGAGGCACACACTGTCCCTCGGTCTCCTGCCCCCTTCCCACACACATCATCATCTCTGTCCCTAAACGGGCGTCATCTCCCACCTCCACACGCCCCCGCCCACCCCCCACGCGCCACCTCCACATGCCCCCGCCCACCCCCCACGCGCCACCTCCACACGCCCCCGCCCGCCCCCCACGCATAGCATTCATTTGCTCGCAGACACCAGCCAAGCCCCCGGCCTCCTGCGCGGCCTCTCACCGGGTCCAGCATGAAGCAGTTGACCCCGCAGTCCATGGCAAGGACCAGCATGGTGGCACTGCCATACAGCGCGTAGCCGGCCGCCACCAGGTTCCGGCCTGGCTGCAGAGCGTCCTTTTCGGAAGGCTCATCAGTTGATTTCTAGAGCAAGAAAGAAATCAAAGAATGTTTTTGTTTTGTTTTGTGATTCTTTTTTACAGTTCAACCATCAACAGGAGGCATTCTCAAGGTGCTCTTCTGATGAAATAGGGCATCTGCCCCGAGCGGCCTTCCCTACACGTCAGCAATATCCTGATTAGATGACCACGGCAGCCTCCCCCCAGAACCCAGACTTCCTGCATCTGGATCCCTCTTTCCATCAGGGCCCTCCTCCAGTCTTTCTAATGTGATATTCCCTCATCTCTCCACTATCGATTCCAAAAAGAGCATGGCTCCTTGCCAGCTCGCACTAATTTAATCTTATTACGGGCATCCATCTCTTTCACCTGCCGACTCCATCTTTATTTAAACAAATTAACACTGGGCTGCAGGGCAGCCAGTCTGGGGAGGAAATCGGTTTTGTGAGCTCTTGCCGCTGCAGCCCATACCCTGCTGAGCATGTGGTCTATGTCACTCACACGTCAGGGAAATTCTCAGAAATGCAGGGACTCAGAATCTCTCCCCAGAGTCATTACGGGGTAGAGCAGATGCTGTCCAATGTGTTAACCGTGATGCACAGGAAGCAGCACATTTTACATCACAAACCAGTGCCCACCCTCCCCAGCCACACACACCAAAAAGTTACCAAAATAATACCTACTCTTAGAACGTGACATGTGCTGTAATCCATTTTTTCATTAAAAACACAGCCGACTGGGTCATGTGGTCCAGAGTTTTTCTAACACTAGGGAAGGGAGCCCCTTAAGGACACAGCTCCTAACCACTGATTTCTTACTATTAATGATTTTCTTCTTTTTTTTTGACACGGAGTCTCGCTCTGTCGCCCAGGCTGGAGTGCAGTGGCTGGATCTCCACTCACTGCAAGCTCCGCCTCTCGAGTTCACGCCATTCTCTGCCTCAGCCTCCTAAGTAGCTGGGACTACAGGCGCCCGCCACCACGCCCGGCTAATTTTTTATATTTTTAGTAAAGACAGGGTTTCACCATGTTAGCCAGGATGGTCTCTATCTCCTGACCTCATGATCTGCCAGAACAGAAAATACAAAAATTAGCCAGGCGTGGTGGTGCACACCTGTAGTCCCAGTCACTCAGGAGGCTGAGGTAGGAGGAAGGCTTCAGCCAGGGAAGGTGAGGCTGCAGTGAGCCATGACGGCACCACTGCTCTCAGCCTGGGCAACAGAGTGAGACCTTGTCTCAAAAAAAAGGAGAGAAAATAAAGGGCCGGGCGCGGTGGTTCACGCCTGTAATCCCAGCACTTTGGGAGGCCGAGGCGGGTGAATCACGAGGTCAGGAGATCGAGACCATCCTGGCTAACACGGTGAAACCCCATCTGTACTAAAAAATACAAAAAACTAGCCGGGCATGGTGGCAGCACCTGCAGTCCCAGCTACTCGCAGGAGAATGGCGTGAACCCGGGAGGCGGAGCTTGCAGTGAGCCGAGATCACGCCACTGCACTCCAGCCTGGGCAACAGAGCCAGACTCCGTCTCAATCAGTCAATCAGTCAATCAATAAAAAGACAGAAAGTGATGATGAGTGTGACACAGACCTCTAATCATTTCAGGTTTTGGAAGCCTTGTTGATTGCTTGAAACAGCGGAAAGCAGTTGAGGGCTCGTGAGGCATAACATTGACATCTCTAACGCTTCCAAGGGGGTCTTTCCTGCTTTCTGCAGAGGTGACTGTTGGCTAGAATTGCACCGTGGTGCCCATGCCCAGTGGGGCAGCGTCGGTAACTGACCCTGCCGTGGTGACCAGGCCTTGCCACACGATTCCTGGAAAGGCACGTGGAAGTGGAAGGATGTATGGTCGTGCTGATGCAGCTCCTGCCACAGCACCTTTCCAAGGCCTACCGACGACTACTATGTTTTCTTGGTTTTTGTTTTTTTTTTTTTTTTTTTTTTTTGAGACGGAGTCTCGCTCTGTCGCCCAGGCTGGAGTGCAGTGGCGCAATCTGGGCTCACTGCAAGCTCCGCCTCTCAAGTTCACGCCATTCTCCTGCCTCAGCCTCCTGAGTAGCTGGGACTACAGGCGCCGCCACCACGTCTGGCTAATTTTTTTGTATTTTTAGTAGAGACGGGGTTTCACTGTGTTAGCCAGGATGGTCTGGATCTCCTGACCTCGTGATCCACCCACCTCGACCTCCCAAAGTGCTGGGATTACAGGCGTGAGCCACTGCGCCCGGCCTAAAATATTTTTTTAAAAAACAAAACAAAACAAGAGCTAAAGCTAAGAGGATGTACCTTGGATTTTATCATGTTTCCTGCTGGGTGGATGGTTTTCATTGTAATTTTCACTTATATGTATAATTGAGCACCTCTCCCTCACCTCCTTCTCCTCCCTCTGCTCCCTCCCTTCCCCTCCCCTCCCCTCTCCTCTCTCTTAGAAAAAGCAGCTCTGGAGGAGGGATGACTGCCCGAGTCAGGTGTTAGGAGACCCGGGGCAGGGCTGGGTTCTCGTCCTGTGTAGTGTGCGTTCTACGACTTAGAGCAAGACTCAGGAAACTTTTGCTACAGACAGACAGATAGTAAATATTTTCAGTTTTATGGGCCATACAGTCTCTATCATAACTACACAACTTTGACGTGTAGCGGAGAATCAGCCAACGGCAGCAACGTGAACAAATGAATGTGACCAAATGCCAATTAAAGCTTCATTTGTGGAGAGTAAAACTTACAACGAGGGCCGGGCACGGTGGCTCAAGCCTGTAATCCCAGCACTTTGGGAGGCCGAGACGGGCAGATCACAAGGTCAGGAGATCGAGACCATCCTGGCTAACACAGTGAAACCCCGTCTCTACTAAAAATACAAAAAAAACTTAGCCGGGTGAGGTGGCAGGCGCCTGTAGTCCCAGCTACTCGGGAGGCTGAGCCAGGAGAATGGCGTGAACCCGGGAGGCGGAGCTTGCAGTGAGCCGAGATCGCGCCACTGCACTCCAGCCTGGGTGACAGAGCGAGACTCCGTCTCAAAAAAAAAAAAAAAAAAAAAAAACTTACAACGGATCATGAAACATTGTTCTTTAGTTTTTTTCAACTATTTAAAAATGCAAAATGGTTATTCTTTGTTCACAGGCTGTACACGTTAGGCCACAGGCTGGACTCAGCCCGGGACCATTGACTGGGGGACTTAAAGGACACTTTTGACCTAAATAATCTCTATGGTTGTCACACGCTCTCAACTCTCAGTTCACATCGTGTCATCACTATACTCGCCCTCTACTGCCTCGTTTTTTTTTTTTTTTTTTTTTTTTTTTTTTTTTTTTTTTGAGACGGAGTCTCGCTCTGTCGCCCAGGCTGGAGTGCAGTGGCGCGATCTCGGCTCACTGCAAGCTCCGCCTCCCGGGTTCACGCCATTCTCCTGCCTCAGCCTCCCGAGTAGCTGGGACTACAGGCGCCCACAACCGCGCCCGGCTAATTTTTTGTATTTTTAGTAGAGACGGGGTTTCACCGTGGTCTCGATCTCCTGACCTCGTGATCTGCCCGCCTCGGCCTCCCAAAGTGCTGGGATTACAGGCGTGAGCCACCGCGCCCGGCCTACTGCCTCGTTTTTTAAAATCTCATTTTCTATCCTAAAAAGTAAGATACAGTAAAAAGAGCGAAATATCCTTCTCTTCCCACCCGTATTTTCCCTATATTTTCTTTCAACAACCTAGTGGGTCTTCGTCATGCAATTACTGCTGAAAAGCTCAGAACTTGAGACAGAAGCTACTTCAGCCTCACGGAGTCTCATGATCTCCGCTCCGGCTGCTCTGCCACAGGGAAATAGAACTGGATGCTCCATCTTAACTTTTGTCCCCAAACCAAGTGCTGAAGATACCACGTTTTACCTTTCTATAGATGCCAAAAATGGTTCCAATGGACACAAGGCAATCGATGTTGGAAGATCCATCAAGGGGATCAAAACAGACCACATATTTACCCTGAGCACAGAAAAAAGAAACACAACCTTAAAATGTTGTAGCAAGATACACTAAGGAGTATACATTAGGGAGTAAGAGTGGGAATTCAGAGGAAAGTTCAAAAAATGTGGGTCTTATTTATTTATCCTCTGTCATGGAAGGTATGAAATGGCATAGAGAATGCACGGATACACACACACACGACGATTAAACAGAGAAAACACCACTTAGGAGGTGCGGATGAAGGGAATGGAATACAGATAAGTCATGATTTCCCACATTGTTGATATAGTCAAATCATAACTTTGCATTGAGTTTCCTGGCAGCCAAAGGAAAAAGAAAAGCAAGGCTAGTCACTCATTTTCCTTTATTCGTAAAGGAAAAAGCAATTCCTGAGGTGAAGCAGAGACTTCACTAGAGTTGAGACCTGTAAGAAACTTCTCGTGGAGGTCTTACAGATGCCCCTTGAGGTTGGGATGCGTAGAGTTTTCAAAAATATCCTGGCTGGGCACGGTGGCCCATGCCTAATCCTAGCACTTTGGGAGGCTAAGACGGGAGGATTACTTGAGCCCAGGAGTTTGAGACCAGCCTGGGCAACATAGACTCCTTCTGTTAAAAAAAAAAAAAAAAAGTTCAATTAGCTGGGCATGATGCTGAACATCTGTAGTCCCAGCTACTCAGGAGGCTGAGGCAGGAGGTATCACGTGAGCCCAGGAGTTGGAGGCTGCAGTGAGCCACAACTGCGCACTCCAGTCTGGTGACAGAGTGAGACCCTGGTCTCTAAAAACAAAACTAAACAAAACAAATTTCTAGTGTAATTCCCAAAGGAGATAACTGGCAGTGGTAGTGGGAATACTGCAGATTCCTGCTTTGAGTGGGATTTTCAGTGGTGTGCAGGAGCTGGCTGGTATCAGCTCTCAGGAGCTAACCGTGCACATCTCTTCCCAGCTCTGCCTTCAGTGACGTCACATTGGTAGCTTAAAATCGACGATGGGAGAGTATTCACACCATTGACAGAGGCAAGGGGACGTATCAGAGACTTGTTTGCTTTGAGACGCAGTTTACCAGCACACCACTGGGAGTTTTCCATCTCCAAATTAGCCACTTTCCAGTGTGGTTTTTAAATGTCTGTAGCAGATTCACATGATTCCCTGCCCTCTTGCTCTTCACAGACCTCCCTCACTAATGCAGGAGGAATCGGAACCGGAACACAGGAACCTGCCTGTCACGAATTGTCACGAAGGCCCGTGGTAGACAGAGCAGCCCAGCGTGAGTGATGGAGAATATTAAACAACAAATCTAACCTATGTGCCTGACGCTGCCAAAGACCTTGAAAGGCCCAGCTGAGAAAAACATGAACTTCAAGTCTAGCATGCAGGGCTATTAGGAATGATGAAAAACAACTTCATCAGATGTGGCTCCTGCCCTCTTAACAGGGTGAGGACGGGCAGCCTCTTCATCTTCTCATTGTTTTTTCCTAATTCTACTCCTTCATGTTCCCAGTTCCTCTCAAACTGAGAAAGTTACTAAGCCCATATAACTGTGCTGCTAATCTCAGAAGCTTTGTTTTTTAATTACAATTGTTGTTTTGTAAAAGCTGGGAATACTCTTTCATTTAACAATCTTTTCCAACAGTCATTTGTTGTCGAGGCCCTCCAATGTGCCAGGCATTGCACTAGACACTGGGACACAGAAACAAGTAAGATATGCTCTCACAAAGCAGAGACAAGGCCAGGTGCGGCGGTTCACACCTGTAATCCCAGCACTTTGGGAGGCCGAGGTGAGGTCAGGAGTTCAAGACCAGCCTGGCCAACATGGTGAAACCTCGTCTCTACTAAAAATACAAAAATTAGCCAGGCGTGGTGGTGGGAACCTGTATTCCCAGCTACTCAGGAGGCTGAGGCAGGAGAATCGCTTAAACCTGGGAGGCAGAGGTTGCAGTGAGCTGAGATCACGCCACTGTACTCCAGCCTGGGCAACAAGAGCAAAACACTGTCTCAAAAAAAAAAAAAAAAAAGAAGAAGAAGAAGAAGAAGCCGAGACCGACCACCAGGGACTCCAATGCACGTATCAGGGGTGGAAGTTTCCAGCAGTCCAGGCCACCAGGAGGGTCAGTGTGACGGTCAGGAATCTGGTGGATGGGGATGTAGTAAAAGAGATGGCCAACAGAAGCCAGGGTTTGAAGAGCATTAAACATGGCAATAAAAAGTTAGAAATGGAGATGAGTTCATGGGAGTCCACTGGAGAGAGGGCAGCGTGAGCCACAGCACTTATCTGCACAGTGGCGCAGGGAGGGTTCGAGAGATGGCAGCAATGAGGTGGAAGCTGTGGAAAGACTGCGGGGGGGATCTAGAGGGACTCCCAGAACCCAACTCCGCTAAACAAGTGGAGTCAGTTACGAAGCTGGGAAGAAAACCAGCTGCCTTAAAACCCTCAACGGTGGAAGTACGGACCCACCCTTTTCTCTGGTTCCACTATGATGGCGTGTTTATCTTCTTCTGACACGAGAACACACGTGGCAAAGGATGACTTTAACATGTTCATAACCAGGTCGTTGGAGAGGACGTCCAGCTTCTTAACTTGATCACCCGTCACGTTGGTAGAACCAGCAATGCCATAGCTTCAGGGAACAAAAGCCACAAAAAAATAAGCCATGACCACCAGAGTATGTAGATGTGTCCATAAACCCACCAAAAGTGAGTGTTCGGTAAGATTTAGAAGAAAGGGTTCATGTCCTTTGCAGGGACATGGATGAAGCTGGAAACCATCATTCTCAGCAAAGTAACACAGGAACAGAAAACCAAACACCGCCTGTTCTCACTCCTAAGCAGGAGGTGAACAACGAGAACACACAGACACAGGGAGGGGAACATCACACACCGGGACCTGTCAGGGAGTTGGGGACTAGGGGAGGGAGAGCATTAGGAGAAATACCTAATGTAGATGATGGGCTGATGGGTGCAGGAAACCATGTGGCACTTGTACACCTGTGTAACAGACCTGCACATTCTGCACATGTATCCCAGAACTTAAAGTATAATAAAAATTTTTAAAAAGATTTAGAAGAAAGGAAGGAGGACACACAGCTTGGGAGAATGAGGCAGGAAGGGTGGTGGTGCCTCTGGACAGACCCTAGAGAGGAGGAGATGCTACCACCCGCCTCTTCACCTTGAACCGGTCATGGTGCCCTGCACGCTTTTGTGGTTAAATCGGTGTTTCTTAACTTTGTTTTCACTGTGGTTCCCCTAGGGAGCTTTTCAGAACATTTCTTCCTCAACCATACTCCTCCAAGAACATTTTTAATACTGCAGATACCGTGGGTATCTGTTTATTGCAGTGCGTGTGTCCGCGCTTTTTACATAAAACGTTTGGGGGGTTTTCGGTTCTGCCCAGAAAGAACCAGTGTTGGCCCAAACACACGGGTTAAACAACTCAATACCGAGACCCAGCAAGCCTGGGTCGGGGGGAGTCTGAGTTTCAAGCCAAGCCAAGGGGTTTATGGCTTTATAACTACAAAGACCCTAAAAGAAACAAGGCATCATTTCATAGAGGAGAACACTCAGACCCCAAGACTCCTGTGGGCCTGTCCACAGGCAGGGCGGAGGCGAGATGCTGCCTATGACTCCCAGGCCAGGGCTCTCCTGGTGACACCCTGGGCCCCTGGCAGGAGTCCTAGGGCATGGAAGTTCCAGGGATCCTGGAGTTTTCGCTATTTTTAAGCTACCTGCAAGTCAGTAAGTGTAGAATTCCCAGAATCCAGTGGCTTGTCCAAATGCAGCCTGGCTTGTTAGACTGAGAAGCGGCAGGTTGTCAGAGCCTGGGGTCGCCCTGAACACAGAACGGAGGGAGACGTCTCACAGGAAGGATGCACAGAGCAAGGAGAGAGCCTTGATGTGGGAAGGGAAAAAGATGGGTCTTTGAAGACATCAACAAGCCACTGAAAGTGGGTGTTAAGGGCACACCCACGCCCTTGGCCAGGATGGCGATGTGCACTCGCCTGGGAACTGACGCTCCCCGACCCAGCAGCCGTGGCTTGCCTGGGAACCGACGCTCCCTGACCCAGCGGCCGTGGCTCGCCTGGGAACCGACGCTCCCTGACCCAGTGGCCGTGGCTCGCCCGGGAACCGACGCTCCCTGACCCAGTGGCCGTGGCTCGCCCGGGAACCGACGCTCCCCGACCCAGCGGCCGTGGCTCGCCTGGGAACCGACGCTCCCTGACCCATGATCCAGCGGCCGTGGCTCACCTGGGAACTGACGCTCCCCGACTCAGCGGCCGTGGCTCGTCTGGGAACCGACGCTCCCCGATCCAGCCGCCGTGGCTCGCCTGGGAACTGATGCTCCCTGATCCCTGACCCAGCGGCCGTGGCTCGCCTGGGAACCAACGCTCCCTGATCCATGATCCAGCAGCCCTGGCTCGCCTGGGAACTGACGCTCCCCTATCCAGCAGCCGTGGCTGCTTCAGCTCCTGCAAGTACATTTGCCCAAAACATAACTCGCTGTGTCTGGCTGGGCAAAACTGAGCACCTTCTAGAAACCGTCCAAACCCACATGCCTGGTCCGGCCTGACTGTCTCAGGAGCTAGCTCCGGCTGTCTTCTCGTGCCCACCTGTCAGCATCTTCTGGCCACTCTTGGCATCATTCCCTTTCCAGCCTGCAAAGCGCATCTCATCCCACTAGCCCTCCTCCTGCTGCTTCTCTTTTCACCCATTACTCCTATTTCATGAGTAAAAGACCAAGAGGTCTGTGGAGCTTTGAGCTGAACCCCGTGTCCCTGGGCTTTCAATTCTATTTCCACACAATCTTTTTCTCACCCTAGTTGTGAGGCTGGGGCTTGTGGAGGAAGAAGGTGCCAAAATCTGGGAGGCCAGAGGGACTTGGCAGGGCCCACCAGCTCAAGGGCAGCTCCCTCGGTGACCTCACTAGCGGCAGTGCTCGTCCTTCCCAGCCTGAGAGCTGCACCATCAAAGTCACTTTATGATTATTGTTATATTTATTTTTTATTTTTTGGAGACAGTGTCACTCTGTCATCCAGGCTGACGTGCACTTGTGTGATCTCGGCTCACTGCAACCTCCACCTCCCAGGTTCGGGCCTCACCCTCCTGACTAGCTGGGACTATAGCCGTAAGCCACCACATCCAGCTGATTTTTGTATTTTTAGTACAGACAGGGTTTCACCATGTTGGCCAGGCCAGTCTCGAACTCCCGACCTCAAGTGATCCACCCACCTCAGCCTCCCAAAGTGCTGGGATTTACAGGCATGAGCCACCATGCCCAGCCCACTGTCAAAGTCACTTCTGATTCTGGAGGGCAAATAGCACCGATGGACCAGAAGGAGGGCTTCAAGGCAGAGACCAGGTCCAGGTCTCAGCTCCCAGGCTCCCCTGCCCTCTCTGAGCCTCCCTCCCTTTCGCACGTGTCCAAAGAGGGAAGTGAGGTCCGCCCCGACGCGGCTGTCAGAGGATCACATGAGATACACAGAAGGCTTAGCACTAATAGGCGCAGCCCGACAGGGACAGCTCAGGGGCCGGGAGGGCTGGGCAGGGGGCCCGAAGGCACCGGACACAGATGAGGCGCTGAGGCAGGTGTGGAAGGAAAGTCCTATATTACGCTTTGGTCCAAGTCCCATCTGCTCAGGCACTTCCCTCAGGAACACTCAGGCCATGGTCTCTTTTACTCAAAAGCTTCCTAGTCAGCTGTCTGAGTGCTCACTTATTCCACAAATATTCACTGGGGACCCGCTGTGCACGGGGAACCGTTCTAGATGCTGGGGTTACGGTGCTGAACACGGTAGGTAAGATCCCGCCCTTATGGAGGGTATATTCTATTGGGGTGAGACAAACAAGAAATAAGTAAGTGTTTTCAATGAAAAAGATACGTCAGAGAGTGACAGGTGCTCGCTGACATAAAACAAATCAAGGTGACAGGAGAGAGAGATGAGAAGGTACATGGTTAATTCAGAGGGTCAGGAAGATCTCACTGCAAAGGGGGCATTCAAGCTGAATGCCTTTTTGAATGTTTTTCATAAGAATGGGAGGAAATAGGCCGGGCACAGTGGCTCATGCCTGTAATCCCAGCACTTTGGGAGGCCAAGGTGGGTGGATCAAGAGGTCAGGAGATTGAGACCATCCTGACTAACACGGTGAAACCCCATCTCTACTAAAAATACAAAAAATTAGCCGGGCGTGGTGGCGGCGCCTGTGGTCCCAGCTACTCGGGAGGCTGAGGCAGGAGAATGGTGTGAACCCGGGAGGCGGAGCTTGCAGTGAGCCGAGATGGCGCCACTGCACTCCAGCCTGGGCGACAGAGCGAGACTCTGTCTCAAAAAAAAAAAAAGAAAGAAAAGAAGGAATGGGAGAGGAAATGGGCCAGGCGTGGTGGCTCACACCTGTAATCCCAGCACTTTGGGAGGCCAAGGCGGGTGGATCACCTGAGGTCAGGAATTCAAGACCAGCTTGACCAACATGGTGAAGCCCTATCTCTACTAAATATATAAAAATTAGCTGGGTGTGATGGCGCACGCCTGTAATCCCAGCTACTTGGGAGGCTGAGGCAGGAGAATCCCTTGAACCCAGGAGGCGGAGGTTGCGGTGAGCCGAGATCGCGCCATTGCACTCCAGCCTGGGCAACAAGAGCGAAACTCCATCTCAAAAAAACAAAAACAAAGAATGGGAGGAAATGAAAAAGCCCTAAAGGAGCCCAAATAAGTCAGCTAGTAACGACTCCAGAGAAGAGCGGCGTGTTAGCAATTGAGCCAAAGCAAACAGTCAGTTCATTTTTCACATATTTCCAGATGGAGGGGAGTGGGTCCTATGTGCACATTTATACAAGTGATTTTGCAAAGCCTGACTTTTTCCTGTGATGCCTGGATCCAGGAAGCACCTAAATTCAGAGAGGAGACCTGGGGGAGAAAGTCCTTGTGAGGTGGCTCCGATGTACAGCACTCCCGGGCCAGCCCCACCAGCCAGGGAGAGACAAGTTATCCTGTAACCGTGTCCTAAACACAGGGGCACCGTGACTTGTTTTGTGGGATTAAATGAAAGTAGGCTATTTCCTGATGCGCTGGACCGCATTTTCTGAGCTTGCAGACTCAGCAGTTGGCCAGATTAAAGTGAGAAGCAACTTCTGTTGCCCCAGATCATGCCCAGGCCTACAGTCGGTGTCAGGGTGGGAGACTTGGCAAATCATGACCACCAGCCAGGCCTCCCCACTGCAATCCAGGAGTCTCAGATGGTTCCTATCCTTGGCACACAGAGGAACCAACACAGAGAAGCCGAGGGCCACAGAAGGGATGGTACACCCTGGTCACGATAGGAGGCTTATGGGGCCGCACAGCACTCTGGAAGGATGCATGGCACAGGGTCCTCAGCACCTGCATGGTCAGGGTCACTCACATCCACCAAGCCATGCAGGGCCCTCACCACAGCACTGACGGGGCCGCCGGTGTCCACCAAACCACACAGGGCCCTCAGCACCTGCATGGTCAGGGCTGCCTGCGTCCACCAAACCACACGTGGCCCTCAGCACCTGCACAGACAGGGCCACCTGCGTCCACCAAACCCCGGCAGGAAATGGGCTCCACCTGCTTCAGGTTTCCATGACGCCACTGGGTGGCGACAGATG